ATATCTTCAGATCTGTTTTCATTCCTGGTTTTTTTAAATTAAAAAAACAGCACACTGTTGAGGTCCCATTTCATATGTGTATAAAATGTTAACAGCTTATTTTACTATTTTTTGCATGATTTATTGTGATGAATGGAACCCTAAAGGTGGAACTAGAGGGAAAAATAACTCTTATTTTAAATTATGCTCCCATAAAAGTACCTGGTGTGTACAAGAAAAAAATCCATAAGGTTCTTGAGCACATTAGAAGCATTTCTAGTGCTTATGATAAGCATTTTAACAGGTGGATAATATTGTATTATATTGTGCGCCTAAAAATGTCAAGTAGGTTGTTTGGACAGGTTCTTCTAGAGCAGAGGATCTCAAACTGGGGTCCCAGGAGCTATAACTTGGGGTCCTCAAAAAATTTTAGTAAACTGTTCATTTTGTTTTTCATTTAAAAAAAACATACATGCATAAGGGGAAAATGCACTACTAAAATAAACCTACTCAACAAAATAAACAATAATTAATCTCATGGCATTTAGGCATTAAAACAGCAGTAAATCTGTTTTAAATCGTCATGAGGTTTCTGAGAGGGTCCATGAAATATTTACACCTTTATAAGAGGTCCTCAGACCCAATAAGTTTGAGAAGCCATAGAGGACCTACTCAACATTTTAAAAAAATATTTTTCTACTGGGATAATTGAGATGTATCAGGACATTATCTTGTGCACATGAGATATGTGTAGTAATTGGTGTCCCACTTGCAAACCCCCCCACAAAAAAGAAAATTCTTTGTTTTTCAATATCTCCTGAGGACGATACACTCTAAAAATGAAATGTTGGATTTACTTAACCATGTTATGTTACCTGGTTCCACTTACATGAGTTGAGTAAATTCAAAGCATCATATTCATGTTCTTTGGCTAAAAAACTGGTATATTGCTTTGAATTTACTCAACTCAGTTAAGTGGAACCAGGTAACATAACATGGTTAAGTAAATCCAACATTTCATTTTTACAGTGTAGTTTGGTTTATGTGGTGGTGGCCCATGCTGGACCACCTGAGACAAACCACATATGGGTTACCGAAGGATCATCATTCTTTGCAGAATCTGGGCTGAGTGTTGGAACAATAGGTCAGAACTGGACACGACATTTTTTCCTGTGTGTGTTAGAATAGAATATGAATATGTCTTTATACATGTTATTGGATCTTTTTGAGTTTTGTGGCCATATTCTTGTTACTTAGATGTTGAAATTTACCTTTGGACATTCAGGTTC